AAGTTAGAAGTTTTCTGGTTATTATCGAAGGTTTGTTAAAAACTTTTCGATTATAGCATTACCCATGACTAAACTGTTGAAAAAGGAAGTAAAATTTGTTTGGACTCAAGAATGTCAAGAGAGTTTTGAAAAGTTAAAGAAGATTCTTACAGAAGTTCCAGTGTTAGTTCAACCCGATTCTGGAAAGAACTTTATAGTGTATAGTGATGCGTCTCATAGTGGTTTGGGATGTGTATTAATGCAAGAAGGCAAAGTGGTAGCCTATGCTTCGAGACAACTAAAACCGCACGAGAAAAATTATCCAACACACGACTTAGAGATGGCGGCAGTGGTGTTTGCTTTAAAGATCTGGCGTCACTACTTGTATGGTGAAAAGTGCTACTTGTATACGGATCACAAGAGCTTAAAATATTTGATGACTCAGAAAGAGTTGAATTTAAGACAAAGAAGATGGGTGGAATTTCTCAAGGATTATGATGTGGTGATTGATTTCCATCCTGGAAAGGCAAATGTGGTAGCTGATGCCTTGAGTCGAAAGACGTTTGCAGCTTTGCGAACTCTTGATGCTAGATTATCGTTAAAAGAAGATGGTGCAATTTGTGCAGAATTGACAGTCAAGCCCATTTGGCTAAATCGAATTAAAGAATTGCAAGTTAAAGATGAAAAGTTTAAAGATGATACACAGATAAAGAATGGAGGGACGGATTATGAGATTAAGTCTGATGAGAACTTGTATTATCAAGAAAGATTAGTAATTTCGGATGATGATGAATTAAAGAAGGATTTGTTAACGGAAGCTCATTGTAGTCCATTGACAATGCATCCGGGAGGGAACAAAATGTATATGGATCTTAAGAGTCGATATAAGTGGCCGGGAATGAAGAAAGACATTTCGGAATTTGTATCAAAGTGTTTGACTTGTCAACAAGTCAAAGCTGAACATCAAGTTCTGTCATGATTGTTACAACCAATTTCAATTCCTCAATGGAAATGGAAAAACATAACGATGGATTTTGTGACGGGGTTGCCTTTAACTCCAAACAAAAAGGATTCAATACGGGTGATTGTAGATAGATTGACTAAATCAGCCTATTTTATTCCGATACGAACAGATTTCTCCATGGATAAGTATGCGGAACTGTATATTAGAGAGATTATATGTTTGCATGGTGTACATATTTCCATAATTTCTGATCGAGATCCTAGATTCACATCACGATTTTGGAAGTCATTACATGAAGCACTGGGAACTCGGTTAAACTTCAGTACAGCGTTTCATCCTCAAACTGATGGTCAATCCGAGCGAACTATTCAAATTCTGGAGGATATACTAAGAGCTTGTGTTATTGAGTACAAAGGATCGTGGGAAAGGTATTTACCACTTGCTGAATTTGCGTACAACAATAGTTATCAGTCAAGCATCAAAATGGCTCCCTATGAAGCTCTATACGGAAGAAGATGTCGTACGCCCTTGAACTGGTATGAACTTAAGGATTGAGAAGTTATTGGTCCTGAGTTGATTCAAAATACAGAAGAGAAAGTTCAAGTAATTCAAAATAATCTGAAAGCTGCAGCTGATAGACAGAAATCGTATGCTGATTTAAAAAGGAAAGAAATTGAATTTCAAGTCAGAGATAAAGTGTTCTTGAAAGTGTCTCCGTGGAAGAAAATATTGAGGTTTGGACGTAAAGGAAAGTTGAGTCATCGGTTCATTGGACCTTATGAGATTACTAAGAGGGTAGGATCAGTAGCATATCAGCTAGTTTTACCACCTGAAATGGAAAAGATACACAATGTCTTTCATGTCTCAATGCTTAAGAAATATCGATCTGATCCATCTCACATTGTGACTCCTGAAGAAATTGATGTCCGACCAGATTTAACTTATGAGGAAGAACCTGTTCAAATATTAGCTCACGAAGTTAAACAACTAAGGAACAAGACTATTCCATTGGTTAAAGTCTTGTGGAGGAATCACAAAGTAGAGGAAGAAACATGGGAACGTGAAGAGGACATGAGGATTAAGTACCCCTACCTCTTTGCATAATGAAAATTTGAGGACGAATTTTCTTAAGAGGGGAGAGTTGTAACATCCTCAATACCGGGTTAGTGACTAAATTGGAAAGTTTCAGATTTTGGTGATTAAAATAGAATGAATGAATAGTATAAAGATTTATATGTAAATGATTGTGTAGGATTGAATTGAAAGGAAGAAGGAATGGAAGGGCAAAAGAGTCATTTGCAAGGAAAATTAATTAAAGAAGGGATAAGGATATATATGAGTACAAGTGGGATGAAAAAAAGAGAACACCAGAGTTATCTTATTCTTCTTTCTTCCTTGTACGTGTGAACCAAAACAAAGGTAAGATTTCTGATTATTGAGTTTCTTGTTAAATTTAATATTGGGTTTTGATTATTAGATGATAACTAAGCTTAAGGAAAGCTTAAGTTATCTTAACATCAAAGGATGATTGAGTTAGGAGAGATTTAAGATTTGAAGTTCTTAAATGAAATCTTGGAATAGAGTTCATAACTAGAATTGAAAGTTATATTTGACTTGTCATCAATCTAGTTAAGATATATGAAGTGTTAAAAACGGAATTCAAACATGTTGATTTATTAATATAATTCTTGAATTACATATGAAGGATAGGATTTGAAGGTTTAAGATGAAATAAATGAGTATAAATTGGTTTAAGAATGTGTACTAGAGTTAAGAGTGAAATAGGGGATTAAACATGAAGGATTTAATCCAAAATGAATGGATTTTCGGGTTCAAAAAGAGGTTCTGGGCAGAGTGCATCGATGCACATTCATGGTGCATCGATGCATCAAGGTTAAAACCCAGAAATTGTTTGAATGTGCATTGATGCATTGGTAGTGCATCGATGCACTCTTTTAAAATAAAGACATCGAATGTAATTCATGCATCGATGCATAAGTAGTGCATCGATGCATCACATTAATAGTGAAATATCGAATGCAATTGGTGCATCGATGCATAAGGAGTGCATCGATGCATCCCAGCAATAATACTACATCGAATACCTTTTATGCACCGATGCATCAGTAGTGCATCGATGCATACCTTCATTAAAAGATGAGGTTGACTTTTCTCTTAGTCTAAAGAGTGAACCATTAGAGTATATTAGTTATAATACTAATATAGATCCATGTGTGATTATGTAGATACTAAAAGTAAGCTTATTCCGGAACGATCAAGTGATTAGAATCGAATCAAAGCAAAGCTAAGATAAGTGCATACTATATGTATATTATAATGGAATAAGACTTGTGATAAGTCTAATCCCTATATTGATTTTTATAATACAGTAGTTGTGAACATGCATACATGATAATTATTGTGATACATGCATAAGACATATATATGTTCATGTGATATGATATGTGATATGAGAACATGATATGAAGTGACATGAGCTACATGATCACCAGAGAAATGACATGAGCTACATGATCACAAGAGAAATGACATGAGTACATGAACAAATGAAATATAAGAATAATGCCCATAGTATACGATATGAGAATTATAGGTGTAATTGGCATGCCAAGAGTCGAGGGTATAATAGTCCTTCGGGACGTAGTCCTTCGGGATGTAGGAGTCCTACGGGAGGAATATTGAACTAAGGTTCGGTGCCCCATGAGGGAATAGATATGAGCTGTGGTGACAGCATTAGTGCACAACCTCAATGCACTCACATACATCTAATCTCAATAATATACATGGGCTATGCAATTGAAATACCGATTTACAGTGAAAGTGATACAAGAAGGTAAGTTTCGTATGTGCATTATATGTTATCTTGTGATAGATACATGCATATTGAAATGTCATGATCCAATTGTAAGTATGAACATTCACAAGTTTATTGTTGCATATTCATTTATTGCCTCACTAAGTCTATGACTTAGCATGTAAGTGATTTACACGTAGGTACCAAGAATCAGGAAAAGTGGAAATAGAAGTAGCACGGACAACAATACTACTAAGAGATAAGATCAGAAGTATTTGACAAAGTATGTACTTGGTTATGTATAGAGTGTTGGCATGTAATAAGTGTTAATTACGAATACTCTGATCGATTTTGTATTTTATGGTCTTATGTAAATTAAAGTATTTCGTTTTAATGAAAGTTTTAAAAATTCCTGGGATTTTCAATAAGAGTCAAAGTTTGAAAAGTCAATGTGACACCTTGGACTTGTATTTGGGTCGGATATGAGTTAAGGGTGTTACAGCCCCAAACTCAAGAAACCGAAATGAGATCTACATGTATTACACAAGATGATAGTACAACATTTGCATCAAGAGAGATGAAAAGCCAAGTTAATGATATCTCTATTCCACATGATCCGGCTAAAAGGAAAAAAATTATTGATTATCATCCAATGGATCGAGAAGCAGTGAGGAAAGAATACATACAAAGAAGTGTTTGCCAACCAAAGAAGCACAAATTTCCTCAAACGGACTTCGGAGGAGGTACATTACGCCGCTTTAATAAATCTTGGTTTAATAAGTATTCTTGGCTTGAGTATAGTGTTTCAAAAGATGCTGCATTTTCTTTGTTTGTTACTTGTATAAGAATGAAACTACCAAAGCTGCAGGAGGAGATGCATTTTTTGTTAATGGGTTTAGAGGTTGGAATATGCCAGTTCGGTTTAGAAAACATGTTGGTGGAATTAATAGTGCTCATAATCAAGCTTTTCAAAAGTTTGAGAATTTAAAGAACTTTAAGTCATCCTTGAAAGTTTCTTTAGACTAACAAACCGAGCAAGCTAAAAGTGACTACCGAATCCGCTTGACTACTTCTCTTCATTGTTTGAGATATCTTTTACATCAAGGATTGGCATTTCGTGGTCATGATGAATGTGATGAATCAAGTAACAAGGGAAATTTTCTTGAACTTTTGAATTGGTTTGCAGAAAAGAATAATGATTTGGGAAATGTTGTTTTGAAAAATGCACCTAAAAATAATCAAATGATTGCACCTTTGATTCAAAAAGAGCTTATCAATTGTTGTGCAAAAGAAACTACCAAGGCAATTGTGGAAGATCTTGGTAAGGATTATTTTGGAATACTAGTAGATGAGTCAAGTGATGTGTCTCAAAAAGAACAAATGGCTTTGTGTGTCCATTATGTTGATAAAAAAAGAATGATAAAAGAACAGTTTCTTGGAATTGTTCATGTTGGAGATACCACATCTTTGTCTCTTAAAGAAGCTATCTTTTCTTCGCTTGATGAGCATTCTTTGAGTTTTTCAAGAATTCGTGGACAAGGGTACGATGGAGCTAGTAATATGAAGGGTGAACTTAATGGTCTCAAAACTCTAATCATGAGAGAAACACAATCTGCATACTATATACATTGTTTTGTTCACCAACTTCAATTAACTCTTGTTGCCGTTTCTAAGAAAAATAAAGATTGTGGTTGGCTTTTTGATACACTTGGAGATTTGTTGAATGTTGTTGGATCATCATGTAGGCGAAAAGATTTGCTTAAAGGAAAACAAGCTGAAAAAATTGCAAAAGCCTTTGAAAATGGTGAAATTGTGACTGGAAAAGGTTTAAACCAAGAGCTTGGTTTAGGTAGGCCGGGTGATACACGTTGGGGGTCTCATTATAAGTTGATTTTGAATGTCATTGATTTGTATTCTACAATACGGGAGGTGCTTGATTTGATTGGTAACGATGCTCAAAATGGTAATGATGCTAGAAAAGCCGATAATGTGAGTTTTGCAATAGAGTCATTTGATTTCATTTCATGATTCACTTGATGAAGAGAATATTTGGGATTATGAATGAATTAAACAAAGCTTTACAAAGAAAAGATCAAGATATTGTCAATGCTATGTCACTTGTTACTTTAACTAAAGAAATATTGCAAAATATGAGGGAAAACGAGTGGGAGTCTTTTTTGCTATAATCTCTTCATTTTGTAACAAGAATAACATTGATATTCTTAATATGGATGTTGTGTATACTCCTCCGGGGAGAAAGAAACGTTGTCGTTTGGATACTACTAATATTAATCATTTTCGAATTGAAGTGTTCTTGGGAGTTTTTGATATTCAGCTTCAAGAGTTAAACAACCGATTTGATGAGGTTAGTATAGAGTTATTGACTTGTATGGCTTCTTTGAGTCCACTTGATAAATTTTCTTCTTTTGACAAACAAAAGATACTTAGACTTGCTGAATTATATCCCGATGAATTTACAAGTGTTGATAGACTAGCCCTTGATGATCAACTTGATAATTATATTGTTGATATGCGGAGGGATGATAGATTTTGGGTATTGAAAGATATGGGTGAACTTTCCATGAAGCTTGTCGAGACAAAGAAGCATCAAGTGTATCAACAAGTCTATTTGCTCATAAAGTTGGTATTGATTCTCCCCGTAGCAACTGCAAGTGTGGAAAAAACATTTTCTAAAATGAACATCGTGAAGAATAAGTTGCGAAATAGCATAGGTGATCAATTTCTAAATGATTGTTTGGTCACTTATATAGAAAGAGATGTTCTTGTCCAAATCGATGATGAAAAAATCTTGAAACGATTTCAAGGAATGAAAGCTCATCGAGAACAATTGTAATTGTTTCTAGTGTTTAGTATTTTTTTGTGCATTTTGAATGAATTGTTATTTTGGATTTTTAATAATGTAACTTTTTTTATTAATGAATATTATAATATTTATTTTGGACCCCCATTGTTTAATTCCTGGATCCACCACTGACCCTGACCTTGACCTTATAGACACGGTTGTTCGAACTCAATATCTCAAAGAATAACAACACTTCATTTAATCACTGAGGTTACTCAATGAGCTCAGGGAGGGATAGGATTGTTTAAATTTGAATCTAACATTTATTATCATTTGTTAATGAGAATTCATGTATAATAAATCATTTATCATTATATCAGGGGTTAGTTGAAAATCAATTTTAAATTATTTTTGAAAAATATTTTATTTTCTTCTCTCCTGTGTTTTTTTGTTGGTAATTAATAATTATATGTTAATATGAAAAGTATAGCCAATTTTGTAGCTGCTAGCTGTAGTTTTAGATAAATAATAGACCATCATTGTGCTGTTTATACTTTATCCAAGGGTAAAAGTATTGTAGATAATTAATAATTATATGTTAATATGAAAAGTATAGCCAATTTTGTAGTTGCTAGCTGTAGTTTTAGATAAATAATAGACCATCATTGTGTTGTTTATACTTTATCTAAGGGTAAAAGTATTGTAGAATTGTATGTATTTTAAATTCACGATGAGTTAATTGCATCACATGTTTCTAAACTATAACCATCATTTTAAACTAAACTTTAAACTTTTAAAAATTATAATTTCATCCTTAAATTATGAATATTATTCTAATTAGTCCTCAAACTTTTAAAAAAATAATTTCATCCCCAAACTATGACATTCAATCTAAAATGGTACCCAAACTTTTGAACATTCTAATTGTATCCCAAACTATACATATATACTAATTATATCCCTTGTTAATAAAATCGATAAGCCAAATTAAATTTTATATGTTTTAAAAAATAAAATTTAGGTTAAAATATGGTTGAAACTAATTACATATTTGGATGAATTTAGGGATGAAAGCGGAAGATTTAAAAGTTTGGGGATTAATTTAGAAAGAGGGTCATAATTTAGGGATGAAATTAGAATGCTTAAAAGTTTACGAACTAATTAAAATGAGAATCATAGTTTGAGGATAAAATTAAAATATTCAATAATTTAAGGACTAATTTAAAGTGAGAATTATAATTTGGGTACATATGATGCAATTAGGACTAAAGATATATTGTTCTCTGGCTCAAAAGGGGTTTGTTCATCATCGAAATCTTGAAAGGGAGACTTTAATCTTCAAGGATGGGTGAAATTTCTTTTCAATTTCTCCTTTCTGCATAATGAATGATGGTATCATATAGATTGAGTAAAAGCTAAAATAGACCATCACCAAGCCTGAGCAACAGTAAGCAGAGGAGCAGACGACTAGACTGAGGGCCAGTGGAGAGCTAGACATTTTTAAATCCATGATAACTTTTGAGGATTGTGATCACCTTGACATCCGAGTAAAATAAAAGTAGAATTTGGGTTCAAAGGATCATAATAGGACGATTTTAAATTTTTGCAGCTTAATAGCAACCGATAACAGTCGGTGTGGTGGTCGATCACAATAAGCAGTGAATGAAATTTGAGTCAACATGTACGTGATTCAAAAAGTACAAAAAAAACCATGCTAGCACAAATCTAGAGAGAAAATGATTGAGCGATAACAAAATTTAATCTATAAAAGTAAAATGAAAATTGAACGAGGCCCTTCTAAGCATTTACCTTCTTTTCATTTTCAATTGAATGAGTTGAATGGTAAAAAAAAGGATATTATTTCTTTTTAAGGTGTCAGATTAAATATATATATATATATATATGCGTTATTAATAAATTAAAAAAATTCTAAATAGATAATATATTGTAATTATAACAAATTACTCAAAATAAAAGTCATCATCTTAAAGGGTTACAAAATTATCATTTTATCAAAGATGGTTTAAAATGAATTTTGAACAATTTTAAGACTATTCACAAACCCTTACCCAACATATAATAAACTAATATATAAAATCATATTTAAAATTGTCTGAAATATGATTAGATGTGTTTATTAATGTGAATAGCTTACTATGTTTCTTAACTATTTTAGATGTAAAATTCGTAAGTTTCAACTAATACAATATGAATACTTTATATAAGTGTTGATGATATGATTGTATGATAATGAAATCATGTTTAGTATACGTATATGTATGATAAATGTATGACATCTTTAGTGATGGTTGATATGTATATAAAATTAAAATCATATTAGCTTTATTAATTTGACTATAAGAATATGATTAAGTTACTTTTGTGTCTATATGTTATATGTACATATATGTACAAGGATGAGCATGAGACCCGAACCTAACGAGTTTTAACTCGGCCCAACTCAATCCTATTTGGTTGAGTTTTTTTTATAAAAAAAATCAGGTTCGAGTCGGTCAGGGTTTTTAGATGATAAGTTTGAATCAAGTCGGGTTCTAGTTTAGGATAAAAATACATGGCCTGAAAAATAATGTAATTACATCTTATATATTTAAGGATAATTGTAACAATAAATCTCTCCATGTTGTTTTTTCAATTGGATCCATATTTTATCGAATAAAATTAATTTTTTAAAAATATATTTGTGTCAGGTGGTGTTAGGGTAGGGTTCAGGTTTAATCTCAAAAGGAGGATCAGATTTCAGGTCAAGTAAAATCACCCTAAATCTGAGTCGGATCAAGTTAACTGAAAATCCGACTTAACTGACTAGTGCACATCTCTAATTACGTATAATATAATTTAAAAAATATTTTTTTAATATTTTTAATAATTTATAATTCCTAGTATTTTATAGATTGTGATATATTTTTATTTTTTAGTAGTGTTCTTAGTTTTTTTAATTTTTTAGTAATTTATTTTTTTAGTATTTGTATATTTGATTTTTTAAATATTTTTATATCGATATTAAAATAAATTTTATTTTTTAAAAAATATAAGTCCTTGAACTTAAAATAACGTGACCTTCAAATTTTAAAAAAATAGTCTATTTGTTATGTTATCAATCATCGTGTGCTACTGCATTATCACTGTAAATTATCACGTCAGCATCGTAACAATCAACTTTTAATCAAAGGGTCAAATTTATTCATTTTTTTCTCAATCTAAAAGTCATATTAAATGTAAAAAAATTCAGAAATCACAATAATTTTCTTTTTTTTTAAAAATTGAAGGTATTAGGTACCATTAAGCCTTAAAAATTTTATTATCCATATTGTAACAATTCTAAAGAGCGGAGACATCAATTTATTTATATATAAATTAATTTTTTATAAAATCATTTTAATTGCAGTTCAAAATTAAATACTTATATAAATTATTATATTATGTATAATAAACCCATATTTCGTAGGGTGAAATTGTTAATGTGGGTCCACCAAGACCATCGACCAAAAATTAAAATAATTATGTTGGAACTATTTATTTCAAGTATTTCATATACCATGACACTTGGGTGCTAAAAATTTCAAACGTTGAATCTCAAAGGTGGCCATAAGCGTTCACCAGTAAACGGGTCTGATGACTGTTTCAACAATATAGTTTATAGCCTTTGACCGTGACTTCTATTTCATTTATTGTAATGTCCTACGAAAATTTTTCTGTCCCACTTATAAAGTACCTCACCGTCCCACTTATAAAGTTGCTGACCCTCTCCGCTTAGGGATGGGCACGGAACGGGGCAGGTTTCAATATCTGATTCCATTCCTCCTTGATGATGCTACTTTTTTTTTTCCCGAACTTGTCCTGAGTTTTAGATTAAAATCCTAAACTTGTGCGATCCTGTACAAATATATTAATATTTTAAACAGTCAAAAATAATATATTTAATAATAATTTACTATATTTTTAAAAATTAATTTAATACTATAAAAATAAAATAAAAAACAAAACTTTAAATATTATATATAAAAAGAGATAATTTAATAATTTATATTGGGTCAGATCGATTTTTCACCTTAAACTTTATATCGTCTTGTTCCGAACTCAAAATTTAAAAATAAAAGAAAAGAAAAAGAAAAACAACCTCTATAGAGTGAGGTTGAGTCAGGATCCGTCGAATTCAAATATTTTTTCACCTTAAATCCGATCTCATCCGGCTCCATTTATGATTGTAACTCTAGAATGTTTTTGTATTTTTTTTATGTTGTAGTTAAATTTTTATTGTTTGTAGTTAAATTCCACTCAGTTTCAAATGGTTGTTTTATTATTCATAATATGTTTAGTTGCAAAATTAGTGTATAAATTATATTTTTTTGTTTTAGATATTTATAATTTTTTTAAAAAAAGCTTTATGCAATGAATGTTTAACATGTGATTTGATTCTTAATTTCATTTTATTTTCTTCTTCCTCCAATTGGTTTTCCCCACGATATTGCATCCTCTTCACTTATCACTACCGATCATCGACAATTTTCTCCGACCCAAAGTACCACTAGATTATTCATCTTTCTCTCCTCAACACCTCAATCGGCTTAGATTTCTTCAAAACTCAATAAATGCAAATCTCAAATTAAATCCTTTCGTAATCGAATCTATGTTATTCATTATCTAATGGTCACTCGGTTGTAGTATGTCATTTCCCCCGGCCTTTCCCTTCTCCTCAATGTTGAGATCCTTTGATGATTCCTTGATTGCTAAAATTCGAGATGATTGAAAATGAGTCTTTCTTTGGTATTTTCTCATATCTTTTTTTTGTTTTTATTGGTGTGTGGTGGTTGGTTTGGTTGAGAGCGGAAACAATGATAGGTGACAATAAGGGTTATATTACGTTGGGCATGAGAAGATAGTTATCGTGCAGCGATGAATGTTGAAGCAGTGAATGATTCAAGTCGGTTTATATAATTGATGGTGACAAGGTGATTATCGTGGATGGTCAAAAAACATGCTATAGAATATATGTAGCTAAAAAGATATAAGTTATTTGATGTTAGAGTTTA